GCCGCCATGAGCGGCCATCCAGAAGCCGGTGACCTATCTGCCTCACCCAGGAAGAGCACAATGATAATACCAACATGGGCCAGTGAAGCAACGTCCTCCACAATTAGACTGAAGAACAAAAGGACAGCAACTTGTCTGTTCCCCTTCCCCCGATTCCCCAGCGCTGTTCCCCTCCCCCAATTCCCCTCAATAATATCTTTAAAAAAAAAAAGTTACTACAAATAGTTGAAATCCAATACTTTTAAATGACCCATTTCTGAAAGGGGTCTTTTGTCCAACCTGCTAACAATCAGTAAACTGTTTTACATTTCACTTTACTTTTAATACTAACCTTGAGAAGAGGCTGCAGGTAACCAAATGAAATGAAAAGACATCAAGAGGAAAGAGAACCAAAGGATATATTCAATTTAAGAATGTAAGTAGTTCCCAAGTAACCATGTGCCGAGTACATAATCAAAAAGAAGGGGGAAATCCTCTATGTATTAAGAACTGCTAAATACTAGGGCTGGCCGATTGGCTCAGTTGGTTAACAGCTCGCTCAAGAGTATGAGCTCTGAGCAACAGAGTCGCCGGTTGGATTCCTGGCCCAAGCTGAGCTGCCAATAGGTGGCAGGATAGCTCAGCTAAAACAAAAAGAAAAAAAATGTCTTCAGGAAAGTAAACACAGAGTGACAGTCCCATAAAGAGGTCATGGCATGTAGCAAAAAGAGCACTATTCCGTTGCCAGGAGACCTGAGCTTGATCTGGCTCTGCTGTAAACATTGGATAAACCACTTAAGCTGCCTGAACCTTAGTTTTCTCACGAGCAAAAATAAAACTTTCTTCAGTTTTATTGATGGGAGAAAAAAAAAAAGAATGTATACTAAATTGTTCCATACATTCCAAGGTAAAAATGCAATGCTAAATGAATATATTTGTTGGCAGAATTTATGTTTGGCAGAATGGTTAGAAAATAATATAAAATGATGAATAAATAGCAAAACAGAGAAACATACCTTTAAAAACGTTAACTAGGGGCCGGCCGAGTGGCACGTTGGTTAAGAGCTGGCTTGGGACGCCAGCTCTGAGCACCAGGGCCCCGGTTCAGATCCCACATGGGCCAGTGATACTGCGCCCTCTACAGCTAAGATGGTGAACAACAGCTCTACCTAGAGCTGGGCTGCTGTGAGTCGCCGGCAACAGCATAGACTGCAGCCCCTGCTGCAGTGGCCTGCCATAAGCTACCGTGTGTGGCTGGCAGCCAGCGTGAGCGGCTGGCAGCCGGTGTGAGCGGCCGTCCAGAGGCCGGCGACCATTCTGTCTCACCCGGGAAGAGCGCAATGATAATACCAACATGGGCCAGTGAAGCAATGTACTCCACAACTAGACTGAAGAACAAAACGACAGCAACTTGTCTGTTCCCCTCCCCTAATTCCCCAATAAAATCTTTAAAAAAAACACGTTAATTAGGATTGCAAGATAAACATCTAATCCAAAACTGTGGGTCTGTATAAATGAAACACACAGAACCTACCATCTCCCAACCCTCTTCCTCCTCTGCTCCTAACAAAAGCAATCCACACCTATACTTCATTTTGTTCAACTGGCACACTGGTTTTAAAAAAAATAAAATAAAAATCAGAATCCAAATGCCTTTAATTTTATTTAGTTTAAACAGGCCCAACATTCCCTGTTTTAAACATTTCTGTTCCATTTGACAACTAAAAAGGCATTTGGCATTTGAGATGCGTATCTTTTCAACTGTCTTGAACATAACAAAAATGTCCTAAATAAATGCCATCAGAACTATAGCAGTGAAATACTTTTTTCTTACTGACCTATAATCTATTTGAGGGCAAGGTCTTTGTGTAATTACTCCCCATTCCCCCAATGTCTAGCACTGACTAGGTCTTGCACACAGTAGGCTATCAGAAGAAATGAGTTAACAGGAAGATTTTTTTTTTTCTCCCAGGGCTCAGCTCTAGGAATAGTTGCACTTCTTTAAGCAAATGGTTTCTTCCTTATGGACACTATCATTCTATTAATTCCAAAGTGGTGGTTCAGGGGCTGACTTTGGCTTGTAGATATGTTTTATTTGACCTACATGCTATCGGCTCAAATATTAATAGTATTTTAGGGCCGGCCGAGTGGCTCAGTTGGTTAAGAGCTCGCTCAAGAGTTTGAGCTCTGGGCCAGCCGAGTGGCGCGAGGGTTAAGAACTGGCTTGGGACACCAGAAGGCCCCGGTTCGGATCCCACATATGAGGGCCAGTGACACTGCCCTCCACAGCTAAGATGCTGAACAACAGCTCAACCTGGAGCTGGGCTGCCGTGGGTCGCCGGCGACAGCATAGGCTGCAGCCCCTGCCAATTCCCCAGCACTGTTCCCGTCTCCCCCAATTCCCCCCCCCACCAAAAAAAATCTTTAAAAAAAAGAGTTTGAGCTCTGAGCAACAGCGGTTCGAGCATGGCCCGAGCTGAGCAGCCGCTGAGCTGCCAGCTGCCAACAGGTAGCAGGATGGCTCAGCTTAAAAAAAAAAAAAAATTAATAGTATTTTAAAACTTTAATGTCGTTTCTAAATATTGAGGCATTTCATATGAAAACCCATATTCCTGATTTCTCCCTCAAATTAGAAGAGTTTAAAAGGCTTGGCCTTCATTCTCAATTGGCAAAGATTAACTGAAGGTGAAGAGTTACTGCCCCCCTTCCCCGGGCAGGTGTTCAGAAGTTCAGGTTTTCACTACACGTGGCTCACTAGGCAGGACAGCATGGTGACAGCACAAGCTCTAGAATCAGTCTGCCTGGGTTTGCATCCTAGTCCATCATTTTACTAGCTGTATGACCTTGGAGCATGTAACTCACCTTCTCTTAGCTCGTTGTCTCTAAAATAAGAATACATATAATAATAATATCTATCACATAGTGGTTAAGGTGAGGATCAAATGAGTTAATGCATGTAAGCACTTAGAAGAGTGCCTGGCACTGCAGAAACTATTCAATAAATGTCAGCTATTGCTATCTGCCTGGCACAGTAGGTATTTGAGTTTTCCAACCCTTGTGTAATTTACGATGTTTCTTTACACTAGACAGCTCAGAGATGAATTTATGGTTCCCGTCCATCAAGTGTACTGAACCTAAGAAAGACAGGTATATCAATTTCATCATCTTTCCCTATCCTTGTTTTTTTGTAAAGCCCCATAAAATTCTTTTTTGGAAAAAAGGGAAGCATTCAAAAGGTTTCTAAGAACTAAATGTGAAGTATTACTTGACGTTCTTCCTGCCCCTGAATTTATTACGCTTTAATGTATTTATGTAGTAAGCTCCTTAGGGACAAAAACAACCCTATTAGTGAATGCATCCCAGGTGAACAGCCATAAATGTCTGTAGCTGGAGACTGATCAAGGAATTTAATGGGGCCTGAGCGTAATCCTTAGCAACTGCCCATGATGGAGCTGACTCAACAACCACCCATTCCCTACTCAGGCAAACCAAGTTTTGAATCCCTTGTTCTACTTATTACTAACTGTACCGTTGGGCAAATAACTCTGAACCTTGGTTTCGTTATATGTAAAATGGTGCACAAAGTTGCTTAACACGTAGCAGGGGGCGAGACAAATGTTTAGATCAAGTTAAATTTCTATTCTATGGGAGATGATAAGCAATTGGGCTAAATTACTGTTCAAGACCTCCTCTCATTAGGTTATTCTACTCTTTAGTGCCTATTTGTCTTTACTTCTGTGGTTCTTGTTACAGGAGTGACTCCTTCCCAAACCAATCTTACTCATTCTTCAAGGCCCAACACAAACATCAGTTTCTCTGTAAAATGTTCCCTTATTCCACCAGTAAGAATGAACAGCTTCCTTCCCTGTGTTCCAATAACACTTTATTTAACACTTGTATGGACGCCACACCATGCAGGACTTGCCTAATTCATTACGTACACGAAATCCTCAAGGACAAGGATCCTGTGTTAATCACCTCATACTATCCCTCTCCTGCCCCAAAGGCCAGGCACATCGCCACGATCCATAAACAACTTGACATAAACTGATTCTGCAAAACCAGTAGACCTAAACTCTTCTGATCTAGCCTGAATGCTGAAGCGGCCTTAACCCCTGGGAAACTACTAAAGTAAACGTTAACAGTATCCAAGGAAAAGCAAAAAGTACTATCGGGCCCCAATTCCTACGGGGTGAAGTAACTAACCATCTGTCCAGGGGAGAATTTGGAAAGCTGCATGCACTAGCGTACCCCGCCTGCGGAGTCTCCCCGGCCAGACACCTGGGGTGTCCTCCTAAGGCAGGCTCAACCCAGGCTGGGCAGGCAATGGGGGGATGCGCGCTCCAGCCCTCAGGCCCCCTGAGGCCTAAGCAGGCTCCGCACCGTGACTCAGCCCCTGGCGCCCGCCAACAGACAGCCGGCCTTCTCTCACCTTGGCCAGTTTCTCGCACTCGGGCAGGCGCTGATCCACCGTGGCGCTGTAGTCCACCTCCATCTTGACGATGCGCCCATCAGCCCGCTCCGAGCCGCCGTCCGCCATGGTCCCTGTCTCAGCGTCCCTTGATGTCTCCCTGCTTCGGCCACCACTCGTCACCCACACCGGAAGCCGCCTGCACACCCGCTCAGGCAGTGCGTCGGGAGGCCGCGCCAAGGACCCCACGAGGTCCCCTGCGCTGGACGCCAGTCAGGCAGTGCCACGGACAGCCCTAGGGGCGGAGCGGGGGGCGGAGCTCGCCCCTGTAGCCCACGTCCGAGGTTGTGTTTGGTGACAGACTTTTAGTCTAAAATTTGTGGTGAGAAAAACTTCTGTAGTAGAATAGTCCTTCCCCTATATGCTTACTCCCCTGCCTTGAAATGTTATGATTTCTCAGCGCCGTGGGCAAGTAGCTTCACTTTCCCCAAATCTCGTTTTCTCATACCTATAGGAGCTGAAATAAACCTTAAAGAAAAAAGCTTAAGGTTTCATCTGGTTGAGAGTCTTGGTGGCTTAATCTGTGGGATCCCTGAAAGCTCATAAGCGAAGATATGGCAGCGGCTCAAGTAAAGTATTTTTGGTTTGTTTTCGTTTTTACTATAATACACTGCAGTTGGTAAGAAAAATGTTTAAAAAGACATTTTATTTGCTCTTCCTATAGGACTCTTGTGAGCATCAAAAGAGATGACATATGCAAGACTATTCCAATTCTTAAGGACCATACAAGTTTTCTTTATTATCTTCCACACCATAAGGGTCCCTATAAAAAAGAGCTTAGGATCCTTGAAAATGAAAATGAGGTTGTGTATTGTGTGGTGAAAGTGTCAACAGTAGACTGGGAAGCAAATGGGAAATCTTGGAGTGGTCTGCCTGCTATGTAGGTGGTTCTCAATTTAGTTGGCACCCACATCCCTTTATATATGCTGAATAGCATTTTTAAAAATACTGTTCTGTAATGAGTATCATGGATAATATAATCCATCTATACACATCATCTTTTAAAAAACCAAAACAAGAAAACATCCCAGCTGTAATGTAAAGGAGAAACATTGCAAAATAACAAAATAATATATATTTCAAGATATAAAGGCTAAAACATGTCTATAGCAGAAAATAGAAGTAGTCATTTGCTTGTATAAATAAATAATAACTGTAATTGCAAAAGCCACAACTGCAGTAGGAGTGTTCTATTGGTTCCTGAAGTATCGAAGGGTTTACTGTTGGTGGCATGATTTTTCCAAAATGGTGTACAACTTCTTGGTAAAGTTCTGACTCTATCAAAGTACAATCTTACATTGTTTTTTACACAGAAGAATTCTTAAAAATTTTAATCCATATTAAAACTTCAAGGGACATCCGGTTGGCTCAGGTGGTTAGCACGCAGGATGCCGTGCTCATAACACCAAGGTGGCCAGTTCGATTCCCACATAGGCCACTGAGCTGCGCCCTCCACAACTAGATTGAAACAACTACTTGACTTGGAGCTGATGGAAACACTGTTCCCCAATAAAATTAAACAACAACAACAAAACTTCAAAAAAAAAAAAAAAAGCTTGGCTATGTCAAATGGACTTAGAGTCTAGGCCTTAGACATGTAAGTAAGTGTCTGGCAGGACACTGAGAAGTCTGATGGAATGTGGGACAATATTTTATTGTGTATGTTTGTTGCATTGAAGCTGTCTAGCATCCCAATTATATGCTCCTGTCTCTCTTTCTTCCCAATGATTGTGACAGCCTAAAATTCCCTCACAGATGTATAAACGCACTCTAGGAGCCAGTTTTATGTTTTCTGGCTCTGTATTTGCTGTGCAGTTGGTTTGACTAGAATAGACAAAAGGATTTGGAGGTTTACATTTTGTGTGAAGAGTTTTAAAAGACAAGTAACGAAGGTGTGATGGAGTAAACAGAGTTATGGCTTCTAGAACTCAAAAAATAAGAGTGTGTGTGTGTGTGTGTGTGTGTGTGTGTGAGTGGGGGTGGAGGAGAGGGCATCTGAGAAAGAGGCAAATAGGTAGAGAAAACTGTAGGTGGCTCCTAACCAATCGGAAGCCCTTCCTCACTAAGCTTAGCTTGAAGGTAACAAACAATGAAAGCATATTGAAATCTAAGGGATAAAGTTTGAAAAGGAAATAAAAAATTAAAGTGAAGTAAATAAAGAAGTAAAATTCTAAGCAATGGTCAGAGAAAATAGGTAAGATTACCATAGTATAGACAGACTTTGTATAAATCTTTTATTTGGGTGAGTCTGAGATTAAATTTATGGCTTCGTAAGAAAGAATTTGCTTTCAGAGGAGAAAAATTGGCAGTGGAAGAATAAGGAATCGAAAAGGTAGGAAGAAATACTGATTGGAAAAAGTTTATTCAGAAGAAACAGTGGTAATTTATATTATGATACTAATTATTGAAAATAATGTGCCTTTATATAAATTACTAACTTTTGGTATATTTTTGTCATATTTGTCATTTCGGGCACATTCAGTGTATTGACTGTGCATATATCTGACCCAAAGTCCCTGGCTTTGTGAATGTTCTAATGGGGGGGTGGGGAGACAGACACACATGTAAGTACGTGCTGGGGGTGATAGTGTTTGGGAGGTGGTCAAGGGAGGCATGGCTAGTGAGCCACCAGAAGTAAGGAAGGGAGTCTTGCAGTTATGAGCTGGGGGATGAAGATTCTAGGCAGAGGCAAGAGCAAGCTGAGGTGAGAGCAATCAGATCATTAATGGCCTGTTTGATGGCCAGAATGAGTGAGGGTGAGAGTTGTAGGAGATGAAGTTTATGGCAGTTTGGACATTAGAAGTCCTTGGTTTGTTAATCTGAGTAAGATGGGAAGCCAGTGGAGATTTGGGGCCAAGCAGTGGCATAAGCTGTCTTACATAGTAAAAGAATCACTCTGGTTGCTGTGTGATTAGGTTGGGCAGAAGCTGGGAGACTAGTTGGGAGATTATTGCAGTACTCCAAGAGAAAAATAATGGTGGCTTGGACTAGGGTGGAAGCAGTAGAAGCTGGAAGAAGTGGCTAGATCCTGGATACAATCTGAAGATAGACCCAGAGGGGTCAAACATGTCAAGATTTTTGGCTTGAGTGTCTGGAAAGATGGAGTAGCCATTTACCAAGAGCAGATTAAGGATGACCAAGTGAGGGGGAGGGGAGGGGGAAGGACAGCAGCCCAGTTTTGGATATTGCTAAGATTTGAGGTGCCTGTTGGATTTCCAAGTGACAATGTTGAGAAGGCAAGTGGATATACAAGTGTCAAATTAAGGGGAGTCATTTGGGCTGGAGTTTTGAAGTTAAGACTCATTAGCATATCGATGATATTTAAAGCCACGAGGTTTACATTACAGAAATGTTTCTGAAATGTGTGTAAAATATTTGTTTTTGTAAATTGCCTATTTTAAAGGCTGTGGGAGACCTTGATATTTTCAAGTCTGTTGTGAATCATTTTGTGAAGAAAAATATACTGTATTTTATCTTTTTGGGTAACTGTGTAAAATTACTTCATGTCAAGTGCAGTTGTATTAGGTAAGCCAAGTCGTAATGAAAGCATTACGTTAATCTCTTCTTGCTGCTGTAACAGATAACCACAAACTCAGTGGCTTAAAACAACAGAAATTGATTTTTACAATTTTGGCTGGGCCAAAATCAAGGTATGGCAGGGCCACGCTCACTCTGGAGGCTCTAAGGGACAATCCGATCCTTGTTTCTTCCAGCTTCAGGTGGCCGTGCGCATTCCCTGGTTTGTGGCCTCATCACTCCAATCTCTGCTTTCATGGTCACATTGCCGTCTCTTCTGAGTGTGTGTCAAATTTCCCACTGCCTTTCTTTTAGAAGACACCTGTGATTGTATTTAGGGCCCATCCAGACAATCCAGGATAATCTCTCAAATCCTTAACTTAATCACGTCTGCAAAGGCCCTTTGTCCAATAAAGCTCTATTTTCAGGTTCCAGGATTCAGGACCTGATATTTTTGGGGACCAGTGTTCAGCCTAACTACAGTCACCTAAGAATTTTTTAAAATTTTATTTTATTGGGGAATCAGCCATGGACATTGGTTACACATTGCTTTCATGCTACGATAGCATAGATGACTCTTTTAAAGACGGCGCAGCACACAGTGGCCCATGCGGGGATCGAACCTGCAACCTTTGTGTTATTAGCACGATGCTCTAACCAACTGAGCTAACCGGTCACCTCCACCTAAGCAATTTTTAAACTGGGGTTTTGATATAAATGATTACATACACTTAATAAGCAAACATAATTCCCTCTTTTTCTGTCTGGTAACATTTAAAATGTTCCACAAAAAAGTCAAATTACATGACAGTTCTATGGCATTATAGCTAAGAAATATTATTTCCAGATCTGTGTTGACATCATTTTATGATCCTACGTCAACTATGCTTTGGCATTAAAGAACTACAATATATTATGGCTGCACAGTTGCCTTCTCTTAAAGAACACTCAGGGGCCGGCCAGTGGCACGTTGGTTAACAGCTGGCTTGGAACGCCAGCTCTGAGCAGCAGGGCCCCAGTTCAGATCCCACATGAGGGCCAGTGACACTGCGCCCTCTACAGCTAAGATGGTGAACAACAGCTTGACCTAGAGCTGGGATGCTGTGAGTCACCCGCGACCGTGTAGGCTGCAGTGGGGCGACAGTGGACTGCCGTAAGCTACCATGAGTGGCCGACAGCCAGCGTGAACTGTTGTCCAATGGCTGGCAAGTGACTGCCTCACCCTGGAAGAGAGCAATGATAATACCAACATGGGCCAGTGAAGCGACGTCCTCCACAACTAGACTGAAGAACAAAAGGACAGCAACTTGTCTGTTCCCCTTCCCCGATTCCCCAACACTGTTCCCCTCCTCTAATTCCTCAATAAAGTCTTAAAAAAACAAACAAACAACAACAACAAAAAACCACTTAGGATCAAGGACAATGTTTTCTTTCTTCACTAAAATTCCTCTCCAGTAAGTATAGGTTACAGATAGTCTCAGAATTCATCTCAAAACATTCCAATGTTTTGAAATTTCTGTAAAAATAGGCAATGCAATAAAAAGTAAGGCTTTGATAAATTTATTATTAGCTTATTTATCTTAAAAAATACAAAACTACAACTTTGGCCACAGAACTTCCAGGTTTTTTTTTTTTCTGTGTGAAGAAATTTATTTTATTTATTTTTTATTTTTTTTAAAGATTTTTTTTTTTAAATTGGGGAATTGGGGGAAGACAAGATGCTGTCCTTTTGTTCTTCAGTCTAGCTGTGGAGGACGTTGCTTTACTGGCCCAAGTTGGCACCATCATTGCACTCTTCCCTGGGTGAGGCAGATCAGTCTCCGGCTTCTAGACAGCCTTTCACAGCGGCTGCTGGCCGCTCACGCTGGCTGTGGCTACACACGATAGCCCATGGCAACCCACTGCCACAGGGGCTGCAGCCCACGCCGTCGCCAGCGACTCACGGCAGCCCAGCTCCAGGTTGAGCTGTTGTTCAGCATCTTAGCTGTAGAGGGCAGTGTCACTGGCCCTCATATGTGGGATCCGAACCAGGGCCCTCTGGTGTCCCAAGCCAGATCTTAACCAGTGTGCCACTTGGCCGGCCCAGTGTGAAGCAATTTATACCACATCATTGTCAATTAATTTTTATTTTATGAGCATTTACTACACAGTACAAGCAATTACACATCAAAGGCATTCTCTGTATTTAATAGAGGCCTGATACATGGGTCTACACATAAAAATTGCCTTGGGCCTTGCTTTGTGTAGTTCTATTAAGAAGAAATTTAACATTTGCTTAGCACCTAGCAAAGTCAGACATAGGTGTTTAAAACACACATACACGCACGCACGCATGTACATAGGCATACATACACATAGACTGCTGGAATTAAATGATATTTAATACAACAAAAATTAATTGCAGAGGATAACATTTGATTTTCAAAAAGTGCCTTTAAAAAAGCGTGGCATGTCAAAAATGACACAGGAGGGGCCGGTTGAGTGGCTCAGTTGGTTAAGAGTGTGAGCTCTGAGCAACAGGGTCGGGGGTTCGATTCCCACATGGGCCAGTGAGCTGTGCCTGAGCTGAGATGCTGCTGAGCTGCCAACAGGTGGCAGGATGGCGCAGCTGGTGAGAGCACGTGCTCCTAACAACAAGGTTGCCAGCTCATCTCCTGCATGGGATGGTGTGCTATGCCCACCCACAACTGAGATTGAACACAGCACCTTGAGATGAGCGGCAGCGAGCTGCCCCCGGGCGGCTGGATGGCAACTGGACTTGGGAGCTGAGCTAGCTGTGCCCTCCGCAACTAAAATTCAAGGACAACAACTTGGCTGTTCCTCTTCCCCAATTCCCCAATAAAAAATCTTAAAAAAAATGACACAGGAACCAAACTGCAAGAACTACCAATGGCCAAAGCTGGAATAATTTGAGCAACAAAATTAATGTAGTATTGAATTATAACTCAAGTATAGAATAATTGTATACCAGTCCACACTGATATAAACAATCGAATGAATAAATAAATGAGGGAGGAGGGGCAAATCTTGCAGAACTCCATTTTATGTATGTAGATACTCTCCTCTCAAGGAGGTGGGGCTCCCTTGAGTGTGGGCTGCACTTAATGACTCACTTCCAAAGAATGAAGTATGGGAAGGGAAAAATAGTAACTTTACAATGGAAAAACTTGGCTGACATTACCTGAACCAAGTGATCAAGGTTAAGGTCAAGCCCTTAGTAAGGGCTATTTTGGTCATATACAGCAGAGCCTGGGAACGAGAAAGGGACATCTTTACTGTGATATAACAGTTTTGTTTTATTTCTTTTCTCGTTAATTTTGATAAGTTGAAAGTCAGTCTCTCCAAAAGCTTCGTCTTGGAGTAGCTAAACATTTACATAAGATTAATGAATGTTACACTAATATAGTGGTTCTCCACTGCAAGAGGTCCCCCCTCCATACATACTGTATTTGGCAGTGTGTGTGTGTGTGTAGGGCTGGGGGAAAGTTGCTATCGATATTTAGTGGGTAAAGACTAGGGGTGCTGCTAAAAATCATAAGGTGACCCCCACAACAAAGAATTATCTCAATAATGCCAAGATTGAGAACCCTGAACTGATATATGCATACATCTAATAGACACGTATTGGGTACCTACAATATCCCTCACACCAGGCTACATTTTCAAGATGACAGATAGGACATGGTCCTTGTCCTCTGGAAGCTTACTGTCTCGTTGGAGAGTGGGAAAACAGGTGGAACAGAACTGTATACGACGTTTATGTATAAAGGCCACACTTGCATACAAAGAAGAACCAAAATGAATAGTTCAAATAAAATCCCTGGGTTGTCTATAAAGGTGAAGAGTTATCTAGAATGGCTCTGGGTAGGAGATAGGACTTTCAGTGGGCCGTGAGGAACCCACAGACCTTAGGTATTATGAGCAGGAAAGGGTAAGATGGGAAGAACCACACATTTTACTTTAGAAGTACCAGGGATATTCTAGGAATAAAACATGATTTGAATAGTCACAAAGACTGTTTTGTTGGTACACTCTTATTTCAGATGCTACTTACAGAGGCAGGTCAAAACGTTACTGTTTTTCACGCACACTAAGAGGTTTCAGTGGGGGGTGGGGGGGCAGGTGCATCATCAGAATTTGGGTGTAGACCATGGGTTGATGAAGCTCCTTAGATGATTGATTCTGATGTTCACCTCGTCCCATCTCACTTTCTGAGAACCCCTGCCTTCATAGGTTCCCACTCATCTGAGAATAAATGCTGCCACAGACATGGGTAGGCTAATATTCTTTTCCTTTTGGTCATTATCATTCCTCACTAGTAGCTTTACTCTTTGTTACTCTCTTTGCCCTTTGGGCCTTCCCCCATTTTTAAAATATGTGATGATCAGTAACTGTAGATTGTACGTCGTTAATGGAACATCATACTATCTAGAATGATGATAGCAGCACCTTCAAGGCTCTTTGGAAGTAGATATTGTGGATTCTATTGGTTGAAAGGAAACAAAGGTAACAATTCTTGTCAGGCTCTTGCTGACTAGGTGACTGAAAACATTTTTAAATGGGTCTGACCAGTAGATGGTGCTCTCTTCCCTTTGTGTGAATGAGTTATGAATGAATACGCTCTCCATTTGCCCTCCCCTCCCCCAAGGGCTGTTGTGTAAACCAATCCATCCCCAAGTCCTTTACAAGTCTTTTCATTTTATCCTCTTTTCTTCATTCACCATCTATTTCAGGCTCTCCCCATGTTTCCTATTGTGTTATAATAATATCCTCCTGCCTCTGGTGTCCTTCGGTCCTAACCCATCCAACATAACTGCCATCAGAATCATTTTCCAAAAACACAAGCTGTCCACGCCCTGCTGAAACATGGTGTCATGGGGGCTGGAACGGGGGATGGTTTCTCTGTGAAGGCAATGGCCGGAGCAGAAGGGTCAAGGCAAAGTGGAGGCCTTCTCCAGCCGACAGATTTGTCCCAGGGGAAGGGTGACTGGCTCTGGTGAAAAAGGTGGATTCAGAGCCTTGATCCTCCTGCCAAGGAATTTGAATTCGCTCACTAGACCATAGAGACTCACTAAGAGGTTTTTGAAGGTTGCAGGATTAAAGCTGTGCTTGACCAAGATTAATGTGACCAGGCATGCGGATGGAATGAGTGAAAAGTTCAGTGGAGAGGTCAGCTTACAAGAAGGGTTAAGACTATTCATCAGTAAAATACTTAGTTACAGAATCAGCATCAGGAAACATCTGGAAAGCCTGGACTCTGTCCTACTACCTATCCTGATGTCCTGTGTGCACGCGTCTGTATGGCTAGCCAGTATCTTCCCTCGCTGCCCCTGAGAAGCGTATGAGGTGCCAGAAGCGAAGCCACTACACTCGTTTTCAAGTCATAAGTAGAAAAAAGAAAAACAGCTTGGGCTTCTTTCCATATCACAGGCTTTCAATGTGTTATTATTCAACGCGACAGTGTCAAATTTAGATTTTCCACCTCGAGGAATTTGGTTTAGCTTTAATTAGTTGCTGTGACTATTTCTGAGCCCACTCTGGGAAGCATTATATCTAGACACTAGTTTTCACTAAAGTATAAGCTGGGTATAGGGTGTCATTTTTCTATTGGGCTTTGTATCAAGCTCACAGTTATAAATTCTCCCCAGTCATCTGGATGATTTTTGCCACCGCTCACCATAGTTATACCGGATAATTATTTATTAATCATAATTTAAAACACTAATATCAAGGCCGCCTATATCGCCATCCGAGCTCTACAAGTAGCTGCAGGACTTCAGAGCATGAATATTTTTCTGAGAACAGATGATGCTTGCAGGTTAGTCTTGCATAGAGGCAACTGATGCATTTTTCATCCAGCAACTTTTCAGAAAAAAACAGGCTTAAAAATACCAGACAAATGAAAAACAGACTTCAGCAGTTACATGCAGCTTCCTGAGTGACTGAAGAATGTGCCTCTTGTGGTTGAAATGAGGGATCTGTTTAATATGGATGAAATACCAACACTCCAGGCATTTTCATTGACATTTCACTGTGACTTTTTGAACTTAGGAGTGCTGACACGGAACCCTACTCTGGCTGCTCTGCGAAGCCTGCCGTCAGAAGAGGTAAAAGGCTGTGTCCCGTTCACCTCCCCTCTGCTGGGTTTGCACTTCCTTTTCATTCACACTGTTGTACTCCCCAGTTTCCCAGGATTCCTTTTCTGAAACCTGTTAGGAAACCGGGCAAGGGTTTGTTCTCATGCTCTCAAATCCCATAGCCTCTCCCGCGCTGGCCTGGCTTCCTGGACCAAGTGAAAACATCTGTGGTGGGTATTTGTAAAGACCTCAGCCAGAGGTCATGGAGCACTAATGCTCCTTGTTACCAGAAGATTTCCAGAGTGGCTGGACCGAGCACTGTAGCGCCCAGGGTACCCTGGAGAACAGATTAAAGGGGTAAAGGAGCCCATCCTCCCCAGCGCCGGCCGGGCTGGGCTCCGGGGCAGCCCGGCCGTCTGGCAGCAGCCCGGGAGAGACATGCTGTTTTGTTTAAATCCTCCACATTCTTTGCCATTTCCCCATTGGCCGGATGGGGCTACCCTCCCCGCGGCGGCCGCTGCTGATGTCAGCCTCGCTCGCGCTGGCTCCTCCCGCACTCACCTCCCTGGCCGGAGGCACACTGCAGCTCCGCGCGGACTCTCCGGCTCCGGCGAGGTGGCTGCAAACTAGCAGGCACGCACGACGCTCGGGGAGCTGAGGGACTCGGAGGAGGGGACGCGCGCGGAAGGCGCCGGCTCCGAGCTCTCACCCGCCCCTCGCAGCGCAAGCGGAGGTTGGAGGAACCCCCGGCCCAGCCTGGCAGAGCCGCCGGCGGCTTCCCTTTTCTCCCCCAGTGAGCTCCGGGGCGCTGCGAGGACCGGCCCTAAAAAGAGCAGGAAATCTTGTTTACCGCCCGGGGAGAGGAGCCGGTCGAGCCTTTGTTTGGGAAGTCAGCATCTACGGCTCCGGCTGCAGTGTGTTCCTGGTGAATTAGTCTTGGGCAGACCGGCCGGAGAAGGGGAGGTCGCCAGGTTCACGTCTGGCTTCAGAGGCGGATCGAGCGGGTGACTTTTGTGCATTCATTTTACATTTTTGGAAATCTCTTTTTTTCCCCCTCGCCCGCCACCGGGCATGTCCTGATCTGACGGCCGCTCCTCCCGCCTTGGGCTGCGGATCAGAGCGGTTTCTAGCGGGGCTTCCTCCCTCCGTCCCTGACTTTGAAACGCCGCGTTCCGGGAGGACCGACCTCGGCGAGGAAGGAGGCGGAGGAGTCGAGAACACCCAGACCTAAACCTTGACATGCTCTCAGGCGGAGACAAGGAAGCCAGGAGCTGAGCCCATCGCCGGGGCTGCTGCGCCGGCCGGCTCCGAGTGAGAGGCTCCGCGCGTTTTGCCCTGCGCCTGGGCGGCAGCCTTGTTGTTCTGGGGGGCGACCCCCCGCTTCCCGTTCCGGGGGCCCGCGGCCGGCAGGACCATGCTACTGAAGGAGTATCGGATCTGCATGCCGCTCACCGTGGACGAGGTAAGCGCCGCGCCGGGCCTCGCCCGCTCCCGGCCCTCCGCCCCCTGCTCCGGGGTCCGCGTCCCCTGCCGCCGCCTCCCGGCCGGCGAGTCCACTGCGGGCGGCAGGGAAATCTGGTGGAACATTATTACCTCCAAAACCTGGAGGCTGGAGGGGAAAGAGGGAGGAGAATTGCTATTTCTACTTGTCACCCCAGCGGGGGAGGGCGGCGTTGGGTGGGGCAGTGGACACCAGGTGGGCCCTTTGGGGGCACCCAGAATCCAGATTACTGGGGATCAGAATGCGCCAAAGGGAGTAAGTGCGTCCCCTCCCTTCAATTAAGAAAATGAATAAAGCAAACACAAGCGTCCCAAGCGCGCGCTGGAGCTGAGGGGCCCCGGGTGGCATCCTCTCCTGGATTGGACGCAGGCTCCCCGCCTGCCCTTTGCTGTAAGGTCGGGGTACGGGGAGAACCCTTTGATCTCCGGATCTGGAGGCCCCAAACCCCTCTGGGGAACACCTCGGAGCCCTTGGCGGGGGCGGGAGGGAATCCGTCTGGGCCCGGACCTCCGGTGGTGGCTGCCAGCCGGGGCTCCGCTCCCGCCAAGCCCCGCACCTCAAGGCGCGGGGACCAGGCTTCGACCTTTCGCAAACCGCCTGGATCGGAAACTTTCTACGTTCCTTGTTTCTTCAGCCGCGGGTAGCGTGGTCTGCAGGCGAGCCACGCGCGGCGGGGGCTGCGGTGCGGCCACTGGAGGGCGCCCCAGCATGTGGGTGTGGGTCCATCCTCAGCTACCGGGTCCCGCTGCGGCAGCGCGGGCGCCGTGGAGGGGCGGGGGTCGTGCTCCACACGCTGCTCGGGTTCGGTTCCCCGCAAATAGCAAGCTCCACCATTCAGGAAATGATGACTCAGGGAGGATTATACAGGACCCGGCTTCCCTTTGCTCCTTACCTTTTTGGTGATTTCACAATTGCTTAGCGCCTGTCCACGGACAGCGAGGGAGCGTGAAGCTAATCACGGCTATTTGAAACTCACTGAGTGTGGTTTGGTGTGGCAACGCTAAAGAAACCGGCGACCCCAACCGTATTTGTATTTAAATACAGCACCCTTAATTCTATCAGATGTTACTGAGCCACTACTTTGTGGAAGGGGCTAGGAGCTTTGGGAGAGAAAAAGGTAATTAACCAAGAGCGTGGCTGTGCTCGCGAGGGGCTGTCATTTGTCATCAGGAGCAGGTGTTAAGGCCAGACCCACGTACAATCCAAGTAG